GTAAGTTGAGGTTTTGTCTTTGGTTTGTCAAAGTCGCTTTGTCTTATAGCTTGATATGATGTAATGGGATTACATGCAATACTTGCCTCCATCGACAGGAATGTTACAAAGTAACTGAAACGTGGGAACTGTTTGTGCTCTAGCTGGTATTCTATAGCCTTCCGGTTCCATCTGTTGCTTAACCAGTCTGGCAGTTTAGCAGCAAGTCTTTGATTCTCTATTCCATCATTGAGGACGTTCAGATTATCATTGTTAGCCATTGCAGATTGCCAGCTTTGTAAGAAATCTACAAACTTTCTTAACTCTGCACTGTCCTTACCTTGAAGCTTTGGCCATGTATGCAACTTGTCCCTGAAGGCCTTGGCGATGACAAAAGGTTCTCCATAATGTTCATTGAGCATATTCCATGCTGCCATATAGGAATCTTCAGAGCCAATCAGAAAATAGTCATCTAAGGCTTCTTTAACACATCCATCTACATATTTCTGTAGAAAAAATATCTTTTCTGCAGTAGGAATGTTCTTTCTCTCTTTTAGAGTCTGAAAAGATGCTTTCCAATGTTTAAACTTAAGTGGATCCCCACTAAATACTGAGGGCTCTGGAATCGGTAGTCTATTAGCTGACATAGCTTCTGCTAAAACCTTTACAAGCTCACCTGTGCTCTCATGAACAACATTTAACTGTTGTGATGGTTGTGTGGGTTGATTAGCAGTGTTCTTGAACTCAGTTACCTGTATGTTTGCAGGATTCAGACTGATGCTTTCTTGCTTTACTGACAAGTAGTCTTCTTCATAAACTTGTAATTTTGCCTTTGCTGCGTTGAGTCCTTTCAGATTTTCCAGTCTTTCAATRTCCCTTTTTAAGTCCTTGACTGATTTTCTCCTTGCAGCACTTTCCTCTAGTTGTCTCTTTATCACAGCCGCCTTCTCCTTTTTTCTTTTTAACTTGCGTTCTGTTTCCTCTCTTTCCTCTAGATGGCGTTGTGACATCGCAGCAGCTTCTTGTTCTGCGATTATGRGTTTGTCTTCTTCTTCTATGGTTTCCATTTTTTCTCTAAATTTCTCTTGTTCAGCCATTATCTGAAGCACAGCCTTTGTGGCTTCACACTCTGCCACAGCTTCTTGTCTTTTGGCAGAGGAGCCATTAGAGATAACTGAACTGTCTTTAAACGGACTATGAACTGAGACACTAGCCGAGCTAGAAGATGTAAATACAGAACTAGCATCAGGCCAAACAATCTCCTCCTTATCTGCTCCCTCAACATGGCATTGGATGTTTTGCAAAACTACCTTAGTCACTGACGTGCCTTTGTCTAACTTGGAACGCATATCATGAGGTGGTCCATCCATTGCTCTGTATTGATCATAAATATAGTTAAGAGTGGCTAGTTCTCTTTGCACAATGTCCATGTGACCTTCAAGAATGTCAACTGGATCTCCTTTAATAACAGATTTTTTTGCAACCTTGGTTAATGCTTTCCATCTGTCATAAGTACTTTCAAAGTGACTTTGCAACCCTTGTAGTTTTTCTTTATAAAATTCTCTTCCTTTTCCTGTTAGCATGCGATGTCTTTCACTTCTACGCAGCTCTTCTTGCCCAGGTTGCACTAAAGAGGTTTCATCTACTTGCTCTYCTTTGGCAGCTTCTATTTCTGTGTCATTTGTTTCTGACATTTTGTTTTACTTGAACTGTTAACTTTTTACTCAGTGAAAATCTCTTTTTAACTTAATTTGTGAGCTTCGTTGCATTACTTCCCTTCTCGTTACCTTGTTGTGCTGTTGTTGTCAGGCTTCACACAGTTCCTTGTTATTACTCCTTCCTTGTGTCACTTTCCAAACATGAACTTAAATGTCTGGCTTCTGGACGTCTTTATGAAGAAGCAGCAGATGAACGTGTGTCCGTTAACATTTGCAGCAGATTGGTCTTCGATGCAATGTCGCGCTGTAGCCACGAAGAGTCTGGGAATCATGCAGCTCCGAGTTCGACTATCACTTCCACCTCTTCTTGGAGTCAATAAAGAGCCCGTTACTGCTGGTGTTTAGTCAGCTTTAATTAACTCTTCTTATAACCTTTGTGTCTCTGACACAACACCACCGTCGAACTAAAAATACAACATGAATATAGAATGAGACAGTGTCACAAATACAATGACATAAACAAATGATACAAGACATATAAACATACCTCGCTGGCTGATCGTTCTTTTGAGGTAGAAATGAGCAAAAAAAAAAAAAGAATTCTTAAACTTAAATTACTTTAAACAACTAATTAATATCTTGCCTTCATAGCATGTGCTTCTTTCCTTTGGTGCCCCAGCGAACATTCTGGATTGCACTTCCTAATTTTGCTTTTCAAAATAAAAGTCACAATAACAAAAAATGTGCCTAATACAAAATAAAACTAAAACTAAAACTATGGCAGTAAAAGAGAGACTTTCAAGAATCAAGAAATGCTGATCATCACAGATAAAAAGGTGAATGAGATCAGAGGCTTCTGGAACAAGAAAAAAGTCAAAGTTCTGGGTTTTGCTGATAAAGTGTCTGACCTCACAGAGAAGATTCTGGAAATCTCAGCTGAGTATCCAACTCTGAAGACACTCATCATTCATACAGGAAGTGATGAAGTTATGAACCGACAGTCAGAAATCCTGAAGAAGGATTTTATTCTGCTGCTGAATGCAGTTAAAAATATCAACATGGATGTGTTCCTCAGTGGGCCCGTTCCTACAGCCAGAGGAGGAGCTGAGAGGTACGGCAGACTGTTGGCTCTTAATGGTTTTTTGGAAAAGTCCTGTGCTGACCACTCTGTGAGATATGTGGACAACTTTGATCTCTTCTGGGAAAGAAAACATTTCTTCAAGTCTGATGGAATGACTCTGAATCAAACTGGAGCACAGCTTCTGCCTTCAAATATGAAGTATTTCCTGAACAAAGTTCTGGCTACAGGTAAACCACAACAGCTGACGTCTGAAGGACAGCTGGAGAAAACTGAGATATCAGTGGAACACAGCGTGCCCGTTACTGATAAGAAGACTGCTTCAGAATCAAAACCAGAGAGAGAGGAGTTATTTCAAGCTGCAGAACCGGAAGAACAACTGGATTCATCAGCATCACAAACAGAGGATCTCTTGGACTCTGAGACCCCAACAGGACAGCAAGTGGAATGCCCCCTCCTGGATTTTACTAACAACATGAAAGAACSTGGCGAGATTAATATCAAACGCCATGCCCAAATCCTGCTAACCCTTCTCTTCCAGCCCCTCGCACGATCTACAAGAAGTCGCAGAGCCCCATCACTACCTCTGACCATTCCATATAACAAAACAGACAATCCTGTTTGTGTTCAAGATGATCCAAAGACTTTTGTGTGATAACTAAGTTTTGGGGGGTTAGTAATTACTGTGGGAGGAATAAAAATTGAATTACTGGGGTTGGGATTTTAGAAAAGTACATATACTTAGGTTTATGTTGACATGTTTTTTTAAAAAAATACATTAAAGTATTTTTTTGTTTTATTGATCATTTAATTGGTGATTTAATGATCAGATGGTGGAGATGTAATAGATCTAATACTTTTATGTTTAAGCTAGTTATTCATGACATCCTTTAATGCCTAGGTTTTCATGACAT